ATTGATCGTAAATTTTATTTTTTTTCCAGAGGGATATCTCATGTCGGAATAATACAAGCTCTCCATGATGCGGGTTCGTTTATTTTTGTTTTGCTATCTTGTATAGTCTCTGTATTCCGCCACTCATTTCGTCCTGGCAAAGCGGGACCATGTAAACTGACAAATATAGATAAGATTTTGCCGTTGTCTGTTCAGTTATAGATACATAGTATGACGTCATAATGTTGTTCTTCCCACATTATGACGTCATACTGTGTATCTATAACTGAAAAGACAACGGCAAAATCTTATCTACTTGTTTTATATAATAAAAAGAAAACCATCGAATTAAACAGGTATAGGCCTATAGCTTACTTTTTACCCACTCAAACATTTGGAAATTTGAAAAAGTCGAAATTTTACAAATATCACGCGTACATGATCTATACAAATGAGGGAATGCTATTGGGTAAGGTTTTGTGTGACGTAATTCCGTGCGTCTGTCCTCTAGTAGATCATGGCTCTCGACCAATGAAAGCGGTTGAATTCTTAACGTTATTATATAAAGCCGCTTATTTGCTATTTTTATGACGTCTAGATATTCCAATTGATATGGTGGCGGGCGCAAGTATTGGCGCATTTGTAGGTGCAGTTTATACAATCGAGGCAGATCCTGACTGGCGAAATGTAAAGAATGGTTAATGGTAAAGATTTTAAATTAATTAAAATTGATGTTAATTACAATAAACAAGGAGATAGTATACCAGGCTAAGAATTGGTTATATAACACATGCGATAATCTATTTTAGGGCATGACGTCAACTTTCAAAATGTTACTTGAGCTGACGTATCCATTCACGTCATTTTTTTCAGGTTTGTTCATATTGCCTATGCCAGGAGTCTTATTTTGAACTCTGTTTGTTTGTTTTTTTGGGTGTTTTGTTTGTTTGTTTGTTTGTTTGTTTGTTTGTTTGTTTGTTTATCTGTCTGTCTGTCTGTCTGTCTGTCTGTCTGTCTGTCTGTCTGTCTGTCTGTCTGTCTGTCTGTCTGTCTGTCTGTCTGTCTGTCTGTCTGTTTGTTTGTTTGTTTGTTCGTTTGTTTGTTTGTTTGTTCGTTTGTTCGTTTGTTCGTTTGTTCGTTTGTTCGTTTGTTCGTTTGTTTGTTTGTTTGTTTGTTTGTTTGTTTGTTTGTTTGTTTGTTTGTTTCTAATGTTAGCCTGTCTGTTTGTTTATATTAAATAATTTTAAAAATTAAGATGTGATGGTTCAATGAGAGTCTCCATGCCACGAAATGCAACTTTTTAGTATTATATAGTTGTTTGTATTATGGTAAATTGACAGTTACAACTTTGTTGTTTGAATTGTCTGAATATTTCACAAGGACAGACAGTACTCCAAAAATGGCGGATTTTGGCCTATTGTATTGTATAATTGTATTGAAATTAAAATTTTATTTCCCAAAAGCTCTTCAACACTCAATCATAATAATGTTAAAATTGTGACTTGTATGTTACGATGTGTACATGCATGGTAAAAGTTTTATATTCTAGGTTCTAATAAGTAAATTTTAGAATGTATTAAAAGAATTTAAATATACTATTTTAAAATTTTCTTAATAGCTGTTCTTTTAGCTAATACATAGTGATAACTATTCTGTTTAGGCAATGGTTTTAATGCGAGCATCAGAAGTGTTTTTGGTGAAAAACAAATTGAGGTACAATCAAACTTTAATTCATTATGATCAAAAACAGTTCAAGTACGCTTGATTGCATTTATTTTTGTGTTTATATAAATAAGTAAATAACATTAACCCTAACCCTTTACTGTCGTTCCAATTGAAGTGTTCCTCAAATATTGATTCAATACATTACCTCGGGCTGACCAATTCATTTCATCAAGTTCCTCGAGATATTCATACACTTCCTGTGAAAGAGCCAATTCCAAGTAT